AACTTATTTCATATACTTTTATTAATAAAACAGTGTGATCATTTTCATTTGTTACGGGATAAAAAGTTTTTATAATCTGGGCCTGCTTTTTCTTTCAAAATAAAAAGAGGTTTTTGCATATATACCTCTCAAATCTTTCATATTTGCAAAATTACCCCTCAAATCTTCATATTTACAAAGTGCCCCAAATCTCTCACGTGCTTTTTCGCCCACCCCTTCCACTTACTATCTTTAGTTTTTAAACGGGAAATTATTGTAAACATATTAGAATTTATTGGGAATTTTGTCATTACCTTGTTTAGAAAGCAGCATTCAAGTTGGAGTGATCAAATATGCAAGTTTTGAGGAATAATTTTGCAAACCCTAAGGTTTTAGGGGCAATTTTATAAAAGATTTGAGGGATACACACACATATCTATATCTATACTACTTATAAAAGAGAGTACCCATGTCAAAACTTTTGTTTTCCTTTTTTAACCTCTCAATTTTTTATAACTCAAAATTATACCATTATTTATAAAACTAATGATCCATAACCTCTCATTAAGTATAAACCTCTTCATTTTATCAAATTATTTGGTCATTCACTAGAATATATTAATAATTTATAATGATAAAAAAATTCGTGAATGTATGATAATTTATTATAAAGAATTATTAATTATATTAAAAAGGTAAAATTCATTCATTTAATAAATTATCACACATAATTATAATTATTAATAATAGTATAAATAGGGGTTATTTCTTTACGGTATAAAGAATATTACCTTGTTCGATAATTGATATCATCTTAGTAATAAAAACTTGGATGTCATAAATTAAAAATACTTTTATTTTGTGTTTGTTATGGTGTTTTCAGTCGCCAAATTATGATCCATTGTCAACAACACACAAATCTCCCTCAATATGCTCAATTCAATCAACTCGACCCTTGGAACTGTCAGGATCCCATTCTAGCCGACTCGCCAAGTCGACATCTCGTTGGGTCGGCTCGAATGGTGGTACTTGTTAGTCCTCTCGTTAAAGGTGACTTGAATGGTGGTACTACTCGACACCCCCTTGATACAAGCCAAAAAGCGACTTCAATCTCGAACCCCCTACTGACAGCGCATCAACATCACAATAATTGCTTGGCAGGCGCCATCATTTCTCCATCCCCGATACTATTTATGGCATATCGGACCACACCGGCTTCGTACGCTGCTTATCCTATCTCATTAATGCTAAAGTGATCGTGCCCATTCCGTGACCACTCTATAGCTGATATCTGTAAAGTTGACGCTGACTCAGCCGCCAGCTCAGACTCGACCGAATGAGACCAAAATGCCCTCTTACATGACTATAAAAGGAAAAACTATTCCCAAGCAAAGGTAAGGGGAATTTTCCTACACTTTTCTCCATTTCATTGCCTTTAAGAATTGTTACAGTTTGTTATTTTCCCCCACTCAAGTACCTCGCTAACTTGATTGTCGGAGGAACAACGGAGGAAATAGACCCCACCCTCTTACGAGTTGCTACACATGCAGGAAAGAATAGCTCAACTCATAACCAGATATTCGAAGAAGTTAGCGGCCCCTAATCAACTCAGTTCATATTAGTTTACCTGTATGATTTAGACCATTAACAGTTTGACACCCACCATAGGGCATTCTTTCTTTTTTGAGCAAATATGTCTGGTTCTGAGCATAGGGCTGACCAATCCACCCTTGGAGGACCACCAGAGCTATGTCACTCAAGCTCAGCTCGAAGAGACGGCTCGGAAGATATCTCAGAGCCTCCAGTAGTAGCTTGCTACCTTCACCAGCGAGCTCCACAGCCAGTTTCCCCAACCGCAGTAAACTACTTCCACCATTCCTCCGCCTTCCGACGATTGGAACTCATCCCCCTTCTGAAGCTCAATGTGTAGCCCCCTCGAACTCATTATACTGCTAGCAGTGGAGGGATCGGTCGAGCATGCCATGTCACCACCATGCAAGTCGACTAGCCCAGCGGATCCTCATCGGCGCCTCTTCCCTAACTTTGAAGCCACCGATGAGAGTCCCAGCCTTAGTCACCATAAAGATCATGCTGTAGGAGGAATGTCTAAGACTCTTCGTCATCCACGTGCCTCTCCATCCCTCTCGGCCACCCATTGTGCATCTGGATATGATCACGTGTACAGACCGATCGCTGAAGCCATCAAGGGGAACACTCCCCTTACCGACGACCTCATAAACACCCTATGTGAGAAGTTCAAGATACCTCACGTGGAGAAGTACAAGGGTGAAGGAGACCCTACCGAGCATGTCCAGAACTATTATGATATGATGAGCATGCTCCAGGTGTCAGAAGCTATCATTTGTCAGTGCTTCCCCATCACTTTATCAGGGAGTGCCAAGCTCTGGTGAAATACCCTAGAGAAGAAATCCATCAGCAGCTTCCACCAGCTCAGCTAAAAATTTATCCACCACTTATTGACTGACACCAAACAAAAACTGCCCCCTCATGTGTTGATACAAATGAGACATACGCCTAGAGAGCGCCTTCGAGCCTACTTCAAGAGGTTCCAGGCGAAGAGACTAGAAGTCAATGATCCAGGTAGTTCAATCGCTATGTCCGAGCTTATAAGGCAGCAGTCAGGGCAATAAGGGCCATAGAGACATCCACGCTACAACCTTGGTAGCAACAACAATAGTAGCATCAGCACCACCTACGATGCCGATGCTTGTAGCAGCAATGGGAATGGCGCCGACACTAGAGTCAGCTAGAGGCCACTTGTAAGGTAGAAGTAACCGAGAGACTCCCCAAGAGTCGACTCCCACTATAACCGGTCCGATGGGAGGGACCGACGAAAGGACCTGGTGCCCAAACCCGTTCTCACGGTCCTCAACACCTTTCTTGTAGAAGCTCTCAATAGTCTGGAAGGAGGGGCACATCAATGAGGCCCCCCCCACATGATGAGGTCAGACCCATGAAAAAGAGACACTTGGCAATATTGTTGTTACCACAGAGATCACGGCCACCTCACCAATAATTGTTGTATCCTACATAGAGACATAAAGGACCTGATCCAGAGAGGATATTTGAAGAAGAGACATAAAGGACCTGATCCAGAGAGGATATTTGAAGAAGCTAGTCTTCCAGAGAGACATGAGGGAAGCCGCCCCAGCTTGGATAGACAGGAGGTCTCGCTCATGCCCCCTCATCCCCAACCACAACAGGATAATCAACGCCTAGAACCCAGCCATAAGGGGGTCATCAACACGATCAATAGCAACTCCACAGCTGGAGGTTCGTCAAACAATGCTCAGAAAGAGGTATGCTAAACGAGCATTGCGGGTCGACCTATGTGACAAGAAGGCGAGAGTGGAGGAATCCATCTCCTTTAGAGATGCCGACTTGAAGGGCGTTGAGACACCTTATGACGATCTTATCATCATAACAGCCAGGATTGACGGCTTCCAGGTGAAGAGAATTATGGTCGACACATGGAGCTTAGCAAACATCTTATATATCGATGCCTTCAACTAGATGGGCATTGACAAATCTCTCCTGCTTACATGTAAGGGCCCCCTCTTCATATTTACCGGACACTCCCTCTTACCCGAAGGGATGATCACTCTTCCCGTGACGGTCGAAGAGTACCCCTGGCAGTCCACCATCCAAGTCCAGTTTCTGGTAATGAATCTCAAGTTGTCTCATAATGTCATCTTGGGTTAGACCACCCTCTACCTCTTGGGGGTCATGTAGGCGTCAAAAATTGCCTATAGGTTCCCGAATGCAGCTCGAGGTGAAGAGAAGACGAAGCACGTCATTATTGAAGTCAGAGAGCATCGTCTGATACAAAAATGAAGCGACAAAGTGATGAAGCAACGAAACGACAAAGCGACGAAGCGACGAAATGATGAGGTGTCTAAGCGACAAAGTGACGAAACAACGAAGCGATGAAGCGTGCGAGACAACAAAACAATGGAACGAGACACACTCAGGTGTCTTGAAATCCGAGACACCTATTGGTGTCTCGAATTCCGAGACACCTATTGGTGTCTCGAATTCCGAGACACCATAGTATGTCTCATAATTTGAGACTCCAAAGGGTGTCTTTTACACGAGACACACAGTGTGTCTCGCACAGTGAACTCCCAAAACATGTTTTCTATAATTTCTCAGGATTCGTGTAGTCCACTGGCTTCCTAACTACCTTGGGAACATCCTCAAACATGGGAAAGTCATTATCAACTGAAGATACGCTCAAATCATAAGATCTTATCCACAAACACAATGTCCAAAGCCTATAAATACCACTAGCACCTATATGCAGGTGCGATATGGAGGTACCGACGGTGGAGGCAAGGTGCTGTCTTTTTGAGAATAGATACCCACGAATTTCAGAGAGAAAGGCGTGATCTTGGCGAACTTTGTGCATAAAGAGGAAGATTTAGAAAGATCTATAG